AAGAACAACAAAAAAAATGCATTACATATTAACACATAAAATAATTATATATATATTTTACACATTTTGTAAAGTGTCTTGTTTTAGTTTTAAAATTTTGAGAATTTCATACACAAGTACACCACATTTGCATAATTTTCATCCCTCCCTCTCCTCCCTCCAACCCCTCCTGTGTCCCTCCCTCCTTGAATGAATGACCTCTTCCTCTATAATTATTAAAAATGTTTTTTAAAACAATGTTCACAGACCTCTTTACTGTATGCCCCAGAGGAAGACAGCTATAGTTTCAGTTCTATTTCTACATTAAATATGTTACCATGTGCTGTTTGGGTTGTGGATGGGAAGATTCCATTCTCTCGGATAAGTAGCTGGAAAGGGAAGGAATATATTAGTAACTTTTAAATATAGTTGTATATATTATTCTTTTATGCCACACCAAAATTACCAAGTAATGATTTCTTAGACTCTGAAACCATATGAATGAAGTTTTAAAAATATTTTATTTATTATTTTCATGTGTATGGATGTATTGTCTGTATGTATGTAAGTGCACTTGTGTTATACAATGCCCTTGGTGGTCAGAAGAGGGCATCAGATTTCCCTGAAACTGGAATTAAAGATGGTTGTTTGCTACCATGTGGGTGCTGGGAATCGAACCTGGGTCCTCTGCAAGAGCAGCCAGTGCCCTTAACTGCTGAACCATCTCTCCAGCCCATGAATGAATTTTCTTTAGAATCAATGATTCTATCTTAAAATTTGAGTGGATCTTTTATTCACTTTGCAATAGCATATATTGATCATTTGAAAAATATTGGTTTACTGACTCATGCACATCTTTTGCTGACACATTTCATTATCCAATATATGCACATTTGCATATGTATTTACATATGTATGTATATAAAACAGTTGTAATATCATCACTGATCTCATCAGTAAGTCTGTCTATTAGAAGATGTCAAATCATGGTGGCAAACAGAAACTTCCCAAAATTCTAAGTTTTGCTTGAAGGGTCCAATTTTATTCTGTAATTTATTCCATAACAAATTCTATACACTGTTTTTCTTAATGAAAGACTTTGTTCATTTTCAAGAAATGTTGTCAACTATGAAGTCAACTTTGACTATCCAGAAGATGGCAGTTTCCCGTTCTTTCAAGAAAGTAAGTTCCACAAATCACGTGGCTGCTGCAGCTCATAATTTGATCACGTGAGGACTTTGCCTCAGAATCAGGACTGAGAATTTATAAAAGGAGTACTTCCCTCAACCTGTTGGGCAGAACGGGGTTTGAGGGAGATCCTCTGCAGCGCGCGGTGGTCGCTGGCCAGCAGGTCCTGCCTTGGTTCCTGCTACGTCACGTCACTGGGCAGTTCTTCCTGATGCTGTTTTATATCTTCAGTATCAGTATTAACTGAGGAAGGTGAGGAGCTAGGGATTATTGGTTTGTGGAGAGCTTCCTGCAATGTGGGTGCTCAGGTTTGAGATCATGAACGCTTTGAATGGACTTGGAAGTCCCCCGGGTTTCCCTGGGACGATCGCTGAAAACCACTACCTTAAAGCTGCATTACCTGAAACACGCTTGGAGCCCACCTGCCTGCTTCCCTTTGCTCTACTGCTTTCCGCATCTTTTAACACCTTGCTTTGCTGTGCGGGAGCTGGTCAAGGGACAGACTCAAGCACTGTCATCATGGAGATTATAATTACAGTGTATGATGACCTCCATGAAGGCCCCTCCCAGTCATGGAGGCTTCTGGGAAGAAGCCAGGCAGAAGTGGAGTTTCTTCTCAGGTGCCGGTTGAGATAGAAGAACATAGCAAGGCGCTGAGGTGGGGGTAGAGGGCAGGCTTGTGGGATCCCACTTTGGCAGAGGCTAAGATGGAGATTAGGGGCATTGACAAGGGCCCAGTGATACAGGACATAGGAAGTACTCTCAAGACTTTAGTTTGCAAATCCACGGGGTCAATCCTGACCACTTTCTTCCTCTCTCCTGAGGTTCTCATCGAGAACAGCTGCTTGTCTGAGGGATTCTTCAGCCTTTTAGACTCTAGATATTTGTGTGTATCTGGCTGGGCAGAGCATGTGCTGGCCCTTATAGGCAGCTGCTGCCTAGTCTCTTCTCGGGCTTCCCATTACATAGACCTCCTGTCAAGGGGAACTCCTCAGCTCCCCAATGCATGCTCACAGACCTTGATCTGGGAAGGACTATGCCACTGGTCAGAATGGACATGTTCTCAGGGTCGGAGTCCCACAGTATTGGAGCTCTTGAGTCTTGGTCTCTGGTTCAGCTCAGTAGCTCTGCTCCTTACACACTTCATCCTAGACCTGGGCACATGCTTAGGGAGGACCTGGTACATATTCAAGGGGACTTTTTTTTTTTTACTGGGCGTATTGGGATTCCCTCTTTGAGTTTTTGTGTCATTAATGAAACAATTTAGGAATGCCCTTAAAAGGAAGCTGAAGAACAGTTTTCTCAGAGTTTAAAAGAAAAACCCCAGGGCAGGCAAGCTATAAATCTTCACAGCTGCCTGGAGGAGGAAGATGGAGCAGAGAAAGAGAGAAGTCCATGCCATTTGAGTTAAGCTGAAATGGAGGCCAGCCACGCAGCAGCCATCGGGCAGGGAGGGGAGATTTAGAGAAAAAACTTTGAAGCCGGAAGTACTAGAGAAAGGCTCTGACCAGCATCCAAAAGAACGATATGAAAGAACAGGAAAAGTAGCACCTTCCTGAAGCAAGAGGACAGATCCGACAGAACCACATGGCAGCCTGTTTGTAACTCTTCCTCCCATCTCTTTAGCATGGATTAAGGCAAACCTCCCCTGCCTGAGGTGTGGCTTCTCTGCCAGGTGATTGACCTGCCCAACTGGATTAGCTCTTTAGAAAGGAGCTAATGGCATGTTCCCAGCTGGACATAGAGTCCATTCTTTCTGGCTAGGAGGCAGCACCTTTCCCTTAGTGGGCCTTCGGCGCTACAGTGACACTTTTCAGGGAGATTTTTTTGTTTCTGGGAGCCTGTGAACCGAGTGTGAGATTGCGGCTCACTAAGGTGATCTTTCTGCATAAGGTGATCTTTTCTTAGTGTCCCAGGAGGGTGCCCTACCTGCTGGATGCTGAGCAACTGTAACAGGTCCCTGTGGAGATGTGTGCCCTGCTTCAGTCATCATGTGGCGTGCCCTCTATGAAGTTTCAGAGCCCTGGAGACCAGGTTGCAGCCCATGAAGCCTGGTCAGGGGTGATACTGTAAGGCCCTGAGCCAGAAGATGGCAAAGGCTGGAGATACTTGGTGGTGGTTGTGGGGCTGGACCACTTCCTCTCATGGGTGTTAGTTTGATGCTGAGGGTGGGATGTAGCAGAGGGGAAGATGATAAATCTGTAGGCTCGTGTGTCAGAATTAGGCACAATAAACACCCTCTGGGAACACAGCTTTCTATTTCTTTTGCTCCACCCTGCCTTTGTTGGTGACCTTGGTTTGGGGCAGTACTTGGTGAATGACCTTAACCCACAGCCTTCAGATTTGTGGAGCAGTTCTCCATGGGCAGGAAGTTCCAAAATGTTAGCGGTACAGCCCCTAGGCCACTCAGGCCCTACGTTGGCAGGGCTTATTGAAGGCTGGGACAAGGAAAGCTTGGGGAGGATGTGGCAATCAGGTCCTTTCCCAGGGAGGAGGAACCTGGGTTAATTCACAGGGTGGGTCCCCAGGTGTTCTCAGCCTATCTGATCTCACCTGAGTTTCTCTCAGTGTCATGGACTGCATTGGATCTGAGTCCCATAGCTCTGTCTTCCATCTTTATTTTTAGGGATCCCTAGCAGTCTTCTCTTATGGAAGCCAGAGCCTGAGTGCTCCATTCCTAGGAACACGGTGCCCTCTAGAGTCAGGGAGAGAAAGGTCTGGAGACACCTGCTGGGGAGGAGACACTGCTGGAGCCCAGGGGTAGAACCTCAAAGCCACTGCTGAAGGAGAGATCTGCCAGACAATGAAGGGTGAGCTGATTGCACTCTGACTTGTTGAACTGGGACAGTACAGGGTTCTCAGGTAATTATCCTTTGTTTTGTGTGTGTGTGGTGGTGATGTGGATGGTAAATGTATGTAGGCTATAGTATATGTGGGTAGCTACATGTTGGTACATACTTGTGTGTATACATGTGGATACCAGAGGTTGACTTTGGGTGTCTTTGTCAATTGCTCTCTACCTTAGCTTTTGAGACAAAGTCTCTCACTGAACCCTGAGCACACTCATTTGGATAGGCTGGCTGGCCAGGGAGCTCTAGGAATCTGCCTGTCTCTACCTGCCAGTACTTGGATTATAGACTTGCACAGCCACGCCCAGCTTCTTTTACGTGAGTGCTGGGGATCTGAACTCAGGCCCTCATTCTTATATGCCAAACACTTTACCAACTGAGCCATTGCCCCAGTCTGAGTTATTTCTGTTTGAATGTATTCTTCAGAATTTTTCTTCTGGAGAAGGGTCTGCATTCTACCAAAGTGTTAAGATCACACGTCCTCTGCCCTAGAACCAGATTCTTCCTCTCCCAATTCCTATATCCTGATTAGCTCACCTGGTCTTATCCCTAGCTGGAAAGGAGCCTCTCTGTGTGGGTTTGGATTCCTTAGTTGGATCAGTCTTGGGTTTTATTCTACATTTACAGAAATGGGGCTTAATGATCCTACATTACAGGATTAAGGTGAAGACTATTTAAAAATTCCTGTACAAGTGTCTGAATGAGCCTGCACATAGTAGGCACTAGTAAAATAGAGTTTCCAGGTGATACTGCTAAGCCGTTGTACACCTGCTGTGTGCAGGGCACCCTAGAGGCTTAAGCCAGGTACTGGCCTTCAGGAGGCACACGATGGAGGCAGTTGGTAGACAGGGTTACATGCAGTCTGGTGGCACTTCACCGGCAGCTGGCACAGTCATGCTAACTGTCAGTGTCTCTCCTAGAGCCACTGCCCTTCCAGGGCTGCTGATCATACTCTCCCTGCCGGAGTCCTGGGACCACGTGAGGATGTTGCCCTGGCTTCTTGTCTTTTCCGCCCTGGTTCTCCCACCATGGAGTAAGTTTTCTTTCTCTGGATCAAAGTAACAGAAAAAGGGACATTCTACAATCTCATAATATGAATCCGTTAAATGCTTGCTCTTCCCTGGGGTGAAAGAATAGCTTTATACTTGGAGTCTATAGACCTGGGTCCAACTCTTTGCCCACCTCCAGTAATGGTTTTCCATCAGCTATTCAGATTTTCAGATCTTAGACCCTTCACCTGAAAATTAATAAAAGGTTACTTTTGTCTTAAATTTATGAAGAACAAGTGAGGTGATGCATATAATTCATCTAGCATTTGGCAGCAAAATTCAATGAATGGAAACAGTGATTACAATATGCCAATCAGCATTTAACCTAACCGAGGTTTATGCTTGTCAATGAAAGAATGTTCCTTGGGGGCAATGATGTGAATCAATGTCCAGAGACTACCTCTCACAGTCCTTCAAGCAGGGACATGGGCTAAGCAGATACCCCAACATCAATCAGGAACCGGCCTGATTCATGTAGGTAATTCTAATTCATGAAGGTAATTCTAAATCGCTTCTCCACATATTCTCAATATTTTTGTTAGATGAAATTCACACAGAAGAGAATGTTTGGTTTTGAGTACCTGAATATATTTCAGGTTGAGTTTGCCAGCTGTGTGTGTAGACGCAGCTCATGAGTCTCCCTACCAGTGGCATTGAGCTATCATCCTTGGGCCATACCTGGTGATGGTATTGGAGAAGGCCATTCCGCCTTCTACTAGAGATGATTCCCTGGTCATCCCAAAGGGGTTTCTTGGAGGAGGCTTGGGGACTTAAGGAGGCAAAGAGACAGTGGAGATGGGGTAGCTGCTTCTGGCCAGAACCTGCGCCACGGTGGTGCCTCAGTGAGCACACAGGAGCTTTATAAAGTGCATGCAAAAAGCAATACTCTTTTGCAGGTGTTTCTTCCTGGGACAAAACAAAAACTAAAGAGGTGTCAGAGGGGCTGCAGTACCTGCTCGGCAACATCTCCCAGCTCATTGAGAAGGGCAAACTAGGTCTCGATGGTGAGGAGGCTGGGGGACCTGCTGGAGTTTGACACTGAATTGTAGACAAGTGCCAGCCAGTGGCTTACATTCATTTGCCTAGACTTTTGGGGTGTAGGGTTGTTGTCAGGTGTGGCTGGAAATCCAGGAAGGGGAGAAACAAACTTACACAGGATGGAGACCCAAGTCTTGAACTCAGAGGGTCATAGCATGAAAGGCAAACCAAACCCTGCCTAGAGGAGATGTAAGCCCCTCAGGGAGCATGGGAGTCACAGCACATTGAGGCTACAAAGGCTGGGTGGGGACAGGTGGGTGACACAGACATACTTCTTGGAGAGGAGGTCCTGAAGCAGAGCATGGAAGGAGCTAAAAATGGGGTGTGTTTGTGAAGGAGATTCCTGAGGTGGGGGATCAAAAAGTTCGGACTCCCTGGCAGGTTCACTACCTGCCTTAGGGGTGAGGCTCTGGAGGCACACACTTGGAGGTAGGCAGGGAGGATGTGATGTCTTGCTGAAACCTCCCTACGGTTTCTTCATCACCATGGGGCAGAGTCCAGACCAGCGTGTGCAGCTTAGGTGGTAAATGTGGGAGCCGTAGTGTGGGGCATGCTGACTGACATATTATGGTCTACCCACAGATGTCTTCACCATGGTCTCTCGTGAGGAATGGGGGGCAGAAGCCATTGGCTGCAGCTCCCAGCTGAGCCGGCCAGTGGACATCCTTGTCACACACCATGTCCCTGGACTGGAGTGCCACAACCACACGGTCTGTAGTCAGAGGCTTCGGGAACTGCAGGCCTATCACATCCACAACAGCTGGTGTGATGTGGCCTACAAGTACGTGACTGGGCCTGGTTCTCCAGGCATGTGGTCAAAGCTGCTCTTTAGTTCTTCTGATATTCCTTATCATGAGTTTTCTTCATTTTCCTGGTTTTGGTTACGTAGGTTTTGTAATGAATACAATATTTAAAACCTCCATGAAACCCCAAATGTCATATAATTTCCTGTGAAAGTCCCTGATCCTCAGATCCCCAGAAGGAAGCAAGGAAGACTAAGTAATTCCTGTCCCTTCAGATTCCTCTAGAACTGTCGCTTTGCGCTGCTTGTCAGAGCAAGCAGCTGTAATAAATAGATTGCTGCCTTATACTTGAGGACGTCTGATCCTCCACTAGTCCGCACTGGGTGCAGCAAGTGCCAACATTTCCCCGAGGTAGGCAGGTTGTTTGTCTTCTTCAGTGTCATATAGATGTGTAGCCATGGAGATAGCGCAAAACTGCTTCTGTTCAAGGTAGTTTCCACCATAATAAAGATATGGGCTCCTGTCTTGATGGGGCGGTCATCCCACCTGTAGCTCCAGGGGTCGGTCTCTGAGCCTCCTTCCTGGCTTTGGCCAGGTGTGAACAGTTCTAGACTAGGTAATGATCTCTTGCCTCAAGTGCCCGCAGCATCTCTGCTTTCCTACTTCAGGCTTTCTCCAAAGCCTCAGTGGTGAGGGGGAGTTAATGCCCCTGAGGGGAAGAGTTCATGGGCAGCTTCCTCAGCACCAGCTTTCTGTAGGACGGTCCAAAAGTGCATGCGCAGTCCCTCAGAAGGACATTGCAGGGAAGTGTCAGTCAGAGTACAGCTTCGATGGCCGCTCTCAAGCCAGCCCGGAAGCACAGGATTTCTCTCTTCTGTCTCGTTCTTGTTCCAAGGAGAAGCTCCCTGGCAGGAAGAGATCAAATGAGCAGCCTGTGTGGAGAACACATTGCACCTTCTGTGGGAGGGAGGAAAGCTATTTTTTTAAAGATACGTAGAGCTCAGGGAGACTCCAACATTTTGTGGTTGAGCCGACTATAGTTTTGGTAGCTGTCCCAAGCCCCTCTTCCTTCTTAGGATGTAGGATGATTTATATGCAACTCAGGCATCTGAGCAAGGGAGGGAGTGTGGGCCTGTGGGTCTTTCTGAATGCTAAGGATGAGGATAAATGTTTTGGTGTTTCCATTGCCTCAGAGGAGTCCATACATATTCCTTTCAGTGAACCTGTCTTGCCCTTCTCCCTTTTGAGCATGGCATGTGATGTAGTCCCAGTCACCAACTTGTGTTTCCTTGTCCACAGTGTCCTGGTTGGGGATGACGGCAGGGTATATGAAGGTGTTGGTTGGAATGTCCAAGGCTCACACACCCGGGGCTACAACAACATCTCCCTGGGTGTTGCCTTCTTCGGCACCAAGGAAGGTAAGGGTCACCCCAGCTGACTCTTCTTCAGAGAGCTCTCTGCCTCTTTGTCCCCACTCTGTTGCCTTCTCAGACATCTCAGAAGAGCACCGCCCCTGGCATTGTCTTCTCCAGTGCTCTCTGTGATGGTCCCGTTCCATCTGCTCCGGTTCCTTTCTCTACCTCTGCTGCGTCTCCTCTTGTGTCAACTCCCAGTCTTCTCTCCTAAGTCCCTCCTGCCGTGTTCTTCTCCCCGGTCTTCCGTCTGCCCAGTCCTTGTCTCGCTCTTCTTCATACAAATCCGAGCTTCAGCTACCATCTGTATGTGGGTGACTATCTTGCATTACTCTCCAGTACTGACATTCCTGTAGCTGTAGGTCTATGTCTCCAAATTCCTTCCAGGAGTCTCCCCACCCATCTGTCACTTCTGGATTTTCTATTCATTTTTAAATTAAATTTTTTTCATTTACTTATTTTTATTTTATGTGTATGAGTGTTTTGCTTGCATGTGTGCAAGTGCACCCATATGTGCAATGCCCATGGAGGCCAGAGAGAGTGTTACATCCCTTGGAACTGGAGTACAGATGGTTGTCAGCCACCGTGTGGGTGCTGGGAACTGAACCTGGGTCCTCTGTAAGGAAATCCAGTGCTCATAACTGCTGAGTTGTCTCTCCAGCTCCTTCATTCATTAAAATAAAAGCCACTTTGAGACCCCTGTATTAGTTACTTTTCTTGTTGTAGTGATCAAACAGCAGACAAAATAGTTTAAGGAAGGAAGGGTTTATTTTGGTTCAGTTTTAAGGACCATCAAGAGGAGGAAGGCATCAAGGCAGGGGCATGAAGCGGCTGGTCAGACTGCACTTGCAGTCAGAAAACAGAGATGAATACTGGCACTCAGCAATTTTTTCCCTCTGCGCTCAGTCCACATCCCAGGATATGGAGGGTGCCACCCATATTTAGAGTGGGTCTTCCCACTTCAATGCACACAATCAGTAAATAGGTCCAGAGGTTTGTCTCCTGGGTGATTCTAGATCCTCTCAAGTTGACAATTTTAGCCATCATAGCCTCAAAAAATGGCAATCTTCCACTTCTATTCGGCTGCCCCCTGTCCTCCCCCACTTGCATTCTAACGTACATTTCTCAGGACCATTTCTGTGAGCTGTGGGATGACTGCTGTTAACAAAATCTTGTATATCTAGTTTCTCCTCTTCCTTCCCAATACCCTTTGGGATAGTCCAAGTATTTTCCATCATTCCTGTTACTACAGTGGGAAGCCCAGCTTTCAGAGAAGGAAATAACACGAAGTGGTACACTATGAGAACAGGAGTCAGAATATGATTCTGCATTTTCTATTTGCACCAGCAGGGCGTTTCCCACAACGCCAGAGGGCTCTGTATTCAGACTGCTTCTCTCTCTGTCCTCTCTCTCAATCTCTCTCTCTCTCTCTCTCTCTCTCTCTCTCTCTCTTTCCTCCAACAGCAATGAGTTGCCAATATTTCCTCATTTGTTGGTTTAGGATTTGGAGCATGTACTTTTTAGATGCCAAATTCCTCATGAATAGAGGGTTTCTAATAGTATCTGACTCAGTTTTGTGCTGAGGAAGAAGTGAATTACTGCAGGTAAAGACCTTGGCTGGCGTAAGAAGGATTGTTGTTGATGAGAAGCACTGGTGTGAGCAGATGGGGGCCACTGGGCATAGTTACCTTTGAACATGGAGGGTGTAGATGCATAAAGTCTTGGCATGTCATCAAGAAGGACTTTGGCCAGGCCTCTGAGAGCCTTATCATAGCAGTTCCTAGACTCTCACCTCTCCAACTTGAGGGATGAGCCTGTCCCCCATCTTCCCTGCAGCAGCTGTATGGTTTTGGCAGAACGTCTAGCCTTCTTCCCACAGATCCTGAAACTAGGCCAGATTGGGATTCCCCACAAATCACTTTCTTTCAGGCCATAGTCCGAGCCCTGCTGCCCTGTCAGCCATGAAGGGGCTAATCTCTTACGCTGTGCAGAAGGGCCACTTGTCATCCAGGTACATCCAGCCTCTTCTTTTGAAAGGTGAAAACTGCCTGGTTCCTCCACAGAAGGAAAGACAAAAAAAAGGTGAGACTTTCTCTCCTCCGGGTCCCTGTTGCAGACCCACCTCCCAACAGTCAAATGCCATCAGGAGTGACTTCTTGTCCAGGCTTTTGTGGCATTCGTCCTGGTGGCCAAGTGGTCACCCAGCTCTCTGAAATGCTGGGGCTAGCAAGCCTTGAGAGGAGCCCTCCAGACCGCCTCTTTACTCTGGTTTTCCAGAGGGAGAGCACCATGGCTAGAGAGTGGTGTCGTATGAGCAATGACTTCATTCCACACAGGTTTCCTGGGCAAAACCTGGCTAAGGACATAATACAACCCCCTCCCCGTCCCAGTCATGCGGTTTCAGTCTAGAGGGCAGAGAAAGAAAACGAACAAATATACAAGAAAAATTCTTGGTATGCTGTATGTTGAAATTTGTTAGAAGAGAAAAATAAGCATAGAAAAGGACAGCTGCATTTATGTAGTTATATATGCGTATGCTATATATATACACACACACTTCTAAAAATTAAGTTTTATATGCATATGCTATATATATACACACACACTTCTAAAAATTAATCATAGAATGAACCTGATGGACTAAGTGCTGAAGAAAATTTGAAGTTATCACACTGATTTTAAAGGAAGAGTTTTACAAGATCCGGGTAACAAGGTAGATGCTGTTTCGGGTTTGACCGTCAGGTATCAGAAACAAACGTTAATTAGGACTCTTAGCCTTCTTAGGCTTAATGAAATTTGAAGAAACTTGTCCCTGTCATAAGCCCTGAATCAGATTGGTCTCTGCCTTGGGATTGCTGCCATCTGTCCATACTAACGATTGTTTTACCCAAGCAGAATCTTACAGATTTTAGCGGTCTCTCAAACATGCTTCCAAAATAAAACTTTCATGTTTTGCTGTTGGGTCAAGAACATTCCAGAGTACAGCAGTCAGTGTTAGAAGGAGGTCTGAGGGTGGCTGGGAGGTCTCAGCATCCAAGGATTACATCAGATTCACTAGTCAGATTATGGGCACTGGTTGATACAATGAATCTTTAATGGTTCTTTTTGTTGTTTATTTTTGTTTTGGCCCATAACAGCTTGCCCCCACATTGTCCCACGATCTGCTTGGGAGGCCAGAGAGGCCCGCTGCTCCAACATGACACTCCCTGTGAAGTATGCCATTATCCTCCACACTGGTGGGAGAACCTGCAGCAAGCCAGATGAGTGCCGTATGCTGCTCCGAGATCTCCAGTCTTACTTCATGGACAAGCTGAATGCATGTGACATCGGATATAAGTAAGTGGATCTAAGGATGGGGGATTTCTTCCCCTTGAGAGAGAAGCTGAAATCCTGAAAGGAAGGGGGAAGGGTAACTAATTTTGAGTTGAGTTCTCACCGTATAAGAGGCCATTCAGGTATTTACACTGGTTTCTAACCCAATCCTGGGTGGTCTTATTTAGGAGATAGCTAAGGGGCAGTCACATCCCTAAGTGTGTCCTCAAAGTATAAACCCTCTAAAAGTAGGTTATGAACATGACAGATACCAAGGCTGCTGAAAAGATATTAGAGGAAGCCACAGTGTGCAGACTGTGGAACCTGTGGAGATTGCCGGGGCAGCCACTGCTTTCGTGTAACTGCCTCCCCTGACACTGTGGCCGAGGCCTTGCGCCTCTGCTTGGCTTGTTCCCTCTGATGCTATTGCGGCTGTCCTCTGCATCTAAGACTTCACATTCAGGGGAAAGTCTTTTCTACATGAAGGAGAGATTGGATGGTGCCCATCAATTTCTATAGTGCCAAAGTCTGTGATTCTATGATAAAAAACACATTGACCTAATAGGAGAGGAAATTTTCTCCCCCTCCTTTCCCCCTCCCCTCCCCTCCTCTCCTTTCCTTCCGTCTTTTCTCTTCCTTCTCCTCCCTCAGGACAGACCACTGCTATCCCATATGGCATATTTATGCACATTAATGAAAGAGCCAGCATTTTAGGGACATTCACAGATTAACTTGTGGAGCTGGGTTCTAGTCTTCACTGTCCCCAAGTTAGCACCTGTGTGCAATGTGCCTGCTCAGTTGGGTTTACCACGGCTTGGTCTATGCTTCTGGAATGACTGATCCTCTTCTCTGCCCCATTTTAGTGAGCCCTTTCAAGATGGGAGAAAATAGACCCTCCAATGTTTGTCAACTTTTAGAACCTACCAAGTGCTTGCTGGGTCCTGACATGCAGGCTAATCCAGTGTTGCTTCTTTAATTACAGTGGACTATGAATTTGGAAATCCTATACGGAAGATTTCCGGCCGAGGCTGAAGGCTTCCCTTTCCGCACTCAGGCTCCAGAAGGCAGTTACGGCCTCCTGGCTTCTGACTTCTGCTGTACCCCCTTCCATCATCCTTCTATCTCTTTTTTGGCCATTTCCTGACCTGGAAAGGGTCTGAACTCACCATTAAACAGCCACTTCTCACACATTCCAGCACTAGGCTGTGCTCTGGGGATGCCACCAGGTGGAACACAGGTGGGCTAAGACTTTAATAAGGAAGAAAAATAACTTAAAAAGTAAGTCTTGCTCACCCAGCAATAATCAGTGGCCAATAGTTCCTTGGCTATGCGTGCTGCCCATTTCCCTCGTTCTATGCTGGGTTTTGGTCCGATTGAGTCGGCATGGGTCTTGTCCATGCTGTCACCGTTGTTGTGAGTTCATATGCACAAGTTCCCAGTGGCCTGCAAGCCTCTATTTCCTTATGTTCATGCACCAACCCTGTTCTTACAATCTTTCCACCTCCTTTTCCGCAACGGTCCCTGAGCCGTGGGTGGGTGAGGTTTAATATAGGAGTCCTGTCCAGGGACATGCACTCCGCAGGCTCTTATTCTCTAAAACTCAGTCAGTTGTGGCCTTCTGTGTGCATCACACTCTGTTGTATGAGGGAGCTTTGCTGGTGAGAGGTGAGGGATGCACTAGTATGCTCTGTACCCCCTGCTCTGCTATGTTCCATGAGCCTAGGTGTCGAGATTCCACTGTAGACGTGTTACTTAGGGATGTGCATCTCTCAGACATATATTCAAGAACTGTGTGTGAAGGAAGGTGAGAGTAGATCCAGAGTGCCTCTCTTTCATGCTAATCTCTGCCTCTCCTCCAGCTTCCTTGTGGGCCAGGATGGTGGTATTTATGAAGGGGTGGGCTGGAGTGTCCAGGGCTCCCGCACCACTGGATACAATGACATTGCCTTGAGCATCTCCTTCATGGGCATCTTCTCTGGTAAGTTGAAGCTTTGGGTAGTTGTGATCTTCTATATGATGTTTGCGGGAGAATGACTGATTTGGACAAGAATGACACCAGCCTCAGGCATCCTTCAGTGCCCCACATGCAGGAGCTTTGTATTGATGTTAATCTAAGCTGACATGGCTGGTGGTGAAGCCCAGAAAATATACACTCTAAAGTTACCGTTTCCATCCGCAGACAAGTCTTCCTCTCTCTCACAGTGACCTAGTGAAGTAAGGGAATGCTCCTTGTGTATAATTTCAGCTCCTCTTTGTACCCAGGTGCGTCCTACCTTGGTTCTCATGGTAATGTGAGACCATGTCAGCTCATACAACAGTGGGGATGCGCCTCGACTGTGCTGAGAGTTCCTGACTAGAGCTAGAATTTTGTTGTTGAATTTCTAGAAGGAGGGTCCTGAAACTGTTGCTGGCTGAGGCTGGTATTAAAATGGACTTTGGGTGGGAGCAGAGTAGGTGAGCCTGAGCATCACGTCTGTGGTCAGAGCGAGGCCTCCGGACCTTAGTGCTCCTGGCATTTTAGATTGGCTCCTGCCGTGGATTGATTGGTCTGCACTTTGGAGGATGGCTGACACTGCCTGTGCCTTCTCGACAATACATGTCCTTTCTTCTCCCACTTTCATTAAGCAAGAAGACTTGAAGACATTGCCAAGTGCCCTGTAGGGCGCTAAACTGCCTCCAGCAGTGAACAATCAGGCTAAACTTCTGCAGTAGAAAAAGCCTTTAGAAATCCCCAGAATTGGGCTCGTTGTGGTGGCGCACACCTTTAATCCCAGCACTCAGGTGGCAGAGGTGGGTGGATCTCTGTGAGATTAAGACTAGCCTTTTTCCCATAGTGAAGTCTAGGCCAGCTGAAGTTATATGGAGACTCTATCTCAAAACAAAACAAAACAAAACAAAACACCAAAATAAAACAAAATAAAAATCCTCAGAATAAAAGTATTTATAATTCTAGACTCAGTCTTTGAAGTCAGATGAATTTTGTCAGTGAGACATGTGAAGTCTTGACCTGGTGTCTGTCTGTCCTCAGAGTGGCTGCCAACAGTCAAATATGCTATTTTAGTGGTGGTGGGTTTAGAAGCATGCTCTGCCCTGGCCTGGTCACCCAGGACTTCTTCAACCACTGGTCTGGCTGTGTTTTGCAGGTTCTCCACCCAATGCTGCTGCCTTGGAGGCAGCCCAGAACCTGATCCAGTGTGCCATGGTCAAGGGGTACTTGACTCGCAACTACCTGCTGATGGGTCACAGTGATGTGACCAACACTCTGTCTCCTGGGCAGGCATTGTACAACATCATCAAGACGTGGCCTCACTTCAAGCACTGAGGGAGGCCCAGCCCCTTCTGAGGCTGCTCTTCTCCTGCTGGGTCTCTGTTCTCACCTCCCACCAGAGCTTAGTACGTCTGTCCTCTCCCCTCACAGCTTCACCTAGTTCTTTCCCAGGACTGGATGATCATGTCCTGTCCTGCTGATATCTTCCACTGTTGCCCAAGCTTCCACTCATAATCCTCTGAGTGTGAATGCAGTCTCTTCTCTCCCTGTGCTTCTCTCCCCTGGGCACTCATCTGCCCAGCTGGGTGAGGTAATGGGCTGACTCTTCTCATACCTCTCTTTCCCTAGTTACTTGTCCTCTACCTGGTGCACAGTCACCTGTGGTCTGCTTGGCAGCCCCCAGTGCTCATCTGTGGCCCAGGCAGTGGTCCAGTGAGCATGTGTGAGGCTCTAGGCTCAATCTCCCTGCCTACCCCTATTTTGCATGCATATCCACTTGTACGGATTTGAATGATCCCTCTGTTTAAGGGCTGACAGACATGTCTGTTCTCGTCTCTCCTGAATTTCATGAGGGTAGCAGCTATATGGCCTATGTCAGCTCCTGAGCTGTGTCTGAGATTTAGTAGGTGCTATAGATGTTTGTTGAAGTGGACAAATAAGTTAAAGGGTATAGAGCCCAGTCCTTTTCTGAAGTTTCATCATCCTCTTTGGAAGCCCTGTGGTACAGTGTCCCATCGGTCATTATTGTCTCTGTACTGATGCTTCTTGGTTGGAGCTCAGAGCTGGCTGTGGTGACTTGTCTCTATTGGATGCCAGGTCTCTAAGTCCTGTGCCATTGTATCCACAGGGCACCCCAAGTGCTGGGTCCGTGTGTGTTTCCAAGGCCAAGGCAGAGCTGTGTGTACACAGGTTGCTGAGTATCTGTGGCCTGCCTATGCTCGGCTGGACCTGCTGGCTGACTGAGTGCCCTGAGCCTTGGTGTTCTGCAGTCCTTCCCGCTCCCATTCTTCATCGTGCTTGTTGGAAGCACGAGAAGTGTTTTTTTTTTTTTTTTCCTGGGTGTTGTTCTGCAAAATGCAAGAGAGAGTAAGAGGAAGGCAAGAAGGAAAAATACAGGGAATAGAGTGTAGGGACTGTGTTCTAGTGACTCTATTGCTGTAGTAAAAACACTGACGAAACCAACGTGGAGAGGAAAGGGTTTATTTGGCTTACAGCTCACAGTTCATCAAGGGAAGCCAAGGCAGGAACTCAGGGCAGGAACCTGGAGCACAGACCATGGAGGAACACTGCCTACTGGCCTGCTTCCCTGACCAGTGCTCAGTCTGCTTTTATACAATACAGAACAACCTGCCTAGGGGTGGCACCACCCACAGTGGACATCACTCAACAGTCAAGAAGATGCCCCACAGACATGGCCACAGGCCAATCCAATGGAGAAAATTCCTCACTTGACGTTCCCTCTACCCATGTGTGTCAGGTTGACAACTGAGGCTACCCAGCACAGATCGTCTTGTTAGGTTTTGATTAAATCATGTTTTGTTGGTTTTATATGGTTTTGTAGTTCTTATTTTAATACATATAAACATAAGATCTTCTCGTTTAAAAAAATCATTGCTGGAAATTGAACCTAGAGCCTCACACATGCTACGTACTGAGCTACATTCCCTGGCTAAAGTGCTCATATTTTAATGCAAAAGTTTTATACTTTTTAAAGTGGTCAGTGACCTCCATTCCTCTGACAGCCCTTGACCTCAAGTTATTTGTGTAATTAGTATAGGAATTCTCCCCGTTCCTGAGGGGTGGAGCAGCATGGACAGATTCTGGATTTCTTTTTACCCCATTCAATAGGAGGACATGGTTCCAGGACCGAGCTTCTCAGAAACTATTTCCCCCAGAGGTCCTCCTAAGCTTAGTCCCTTCACTGTGGAGACGGAGGACAGGCATCCGTGTTCCTGATCTCTCCTCTGCTCTGCAGATGGAGGAAGGCAGAAAGTGGATGAAAAGGGAGATACTGGGCTTCTCATAACTGGAAAACGAGACAGGAGATGTCTAGATTCCCACATCTGAGACAAAGGGCTACCATCCTTGAGGACACGGGACTCAAAGAGTCACTGTTTCCTCCTGTTTTGAGATTAGCCTCTTTTCAGCCCCTTACCCAGCTCCATGTCTTAAAGTCCTTATTTGCTCCACACAAAAAACTATAGGCCCGAGATACTGATATTTTCAGAAATTCATGCTGTTTAAACATTATTCTTTCACCGGCCATCTAAATAGAATAAATCAGTGATTGTTAGAGAAAGGCAGTTTCAGGGTCATGAGACAGATTAAGTCCTCTACAGCCTTGTAAAGATGCTACTTAGTGACTTCTTAGCGTATCTCTAAACATCTTGCCTTTATGGATGTGGAGTTGTGAGATTAACTGCTTTAGCCTATATGGAGGGTTAGAACCAGTGACCAGTGCATGGTCAGCCCTCAGCTGTTTCTGGCTGTTACTGTTTTGTTATTATCATCTTTCCTAATAGCATTACTATCCCCATTTGGCTCTGTGCCTTCTTGGGCAGCAACTTCCACTTCCCTGACAGAGTTTGAAGTACTGTGTTTCTCTGTATACCCCGACCCATATGAGGTAGCCAGGAGGAAGACAAGGCCTGACCCCTGACAAAGGGGCCTGTGTGAGGACTCCCAGGATGACAGGTAGAATAATAGTTGAGGCTTGCTCTTCATGGACTTTAGTGCTAACAGATTAGTAAGTTAGTACTTAAAGATCCGCTAGTCAGTGATCCAGAATAACACAGTCTCCCATATAGGCTTAGGTTGAAAATGACAGGTTTGTTCTAATCCATTCTAGAGAGGGCAAACTCACTCAGTCTGGACCACACACGAGCCATGCATGGTAGGTGACACTGAAATCCCCAAACAACCCTCTGAACCTGCCACCTATTTGATAAGACACCCTCTATGGCTATTCTTTTCCCATATAACTTAGTAAAATATCATAGATGGCAGTAAAGACATTTTGCTGGTCCCAGTTTACTTCCATCTACCCCCATCAAACCCAGCAGGTCAGTGAACTTCTCTCTTTTCCAGTGGCACTGTGTGCGTTGGCATCTTCTTGAATTAGCTCCCACCATCCCCCGAGTGACATCCTTATTTCTTCCTTTCCAAATTCTCCTCTCCTAGTTGGCAGAACTTCAAGCAGTATGTTTCTATCTTGCTTTGCCTGTGTAGCCAAGAGTCTGATGTGAGCAATAGTTAATGGAAAGACGATCAAGGCTTGGAAAGGGCAAGCTTGGGCAACTGGTGTCTATGTGGATGCTAATGAAAGGGTTTGTGGTGGGGTAGAATCTTTATAATCATGTAGATAAACTGATTTTGGTTTTTCCACAGCTCCCTGGATCTAGGTAAATGGAATCGTGAACACCGGCTCTCTTTGATTGATTCCCTCTACCTTGTCTTCAAGATCTTCTATTATCTCTTTCATTTGATCCAATCTATAGGTGAGGTTTTTCTCTAAGCTTTTTGTTTGATTTCCTGAGTTTTCATTTTGAATTTTATTCTAGTTTATCTTTTATTCAGAGATCATATCTCTTTATTAAATTCTAATTTCATGTCTATATTTGTTTTACATATTCCTTCCAACTATTTGTGCTTTCTTAGCCTTCATTCAGTCTTTTGTCCATATCCTCCTTGAGTTCCTTGAACACATTTATAATTGCTATCTTGAAATAATTGCCTTGTGCATTAGTTAGGTTGCCTTTCACAGGAAGCATTATGTATTTTTGCAATGGAATGTAGGAACCTGGAGTTATGCCTTTGGTGGTGTTTCTTGGTACGGCTAACTGATCATTATGTGGGTTTTTGAATCTTTGTTTGCTGTTACCCCATCAAGTTGTGGTGGTACTCAGCGTTCAGCCTTGGGCCACTGTGTGTTATGTGAATGGGCTGTCAGGAGTAGTATCAGTTCAGCTAGGGATAGGTACAACTTCTGAGCCTAGGAGCAAACCTTCTTTGAGATTTCACTATTGATCTTCTGAAGTCTGTAGGGGGCTTATCAAATCCTGCAAGTATTTGTCGGGTGGCAGGGTCTGGGGGGGTGTCACAATGTGAGTGGGTGGTACACTGTGGGTGTGGAGTGCAGGGTGCCACGATGCCTTCAGTTGGAAATGGATGGGGTCATTATCTGGGATCAGCAGCACAGAATACCACAGGGGCCCAGAAGTGTCTTGGTTGGTGAGGTAGTGGCTTGGCTCTGAGGGTCCCTACATGGAGTCATGATCAGGGAATGTCACATAGCCCTGGATCTGAGTCATGGGTTGGGTTGCTGGCTGGAAGGTATCCTGGGTCTGGGGTCCCTACCTGAGATTCCAGATTGAACTCCATGGGATCCTGGAGTAGTGTGGAGGGCCAGGTGTCTGCTAAACTAGATGGTGATTAGACTGTATCCTCATGTGTGTGGGGGATGGTGGAGAGGGAAAGCAAGAGACACTTACCAGGCTCTCTGCAGCTGTGCAACCCCAGATAGTCTTGGGAATGTGGAATGACAGAGAATAAAAGTATAACCTTTTTTCCTAGTCCTCTTCATGAGTCTGTCTCTTTATCAGGATATTGAGACCATTGATATTAAGAGCTATTATTGAACTATGTGTATTAATTCCTAACGTTTGCTGCTTTTGCAGTGTTTTCTTAGCTCTCAGTTGATTAAATGTTTTGTGTGTGTTTAGCCTTCTCTTCAGACTGAAGCATTCCTGCTGGTACCCTGTGTAGAGCTGGTTTAATGGTCATGAATTCCTTAAATATGTTTTTATCATGGAAACATTTTTCATTCTCCTTTGATTATGAGAGATAGTTTTGCTGAGTGTAGTTGTCTGGGTTCGCATCTGTGGTCTTTCATAACTTGTAGAACGTAGGTCTAAGCCCTTCTGACTTTCAATCTCTGTTGGAAAACCAGCTGTTATTCTGATAAGCCCGACTTTATATGTGGTTTGTTCTTCCTATCTTGCAGCTTTCAATATTCTCTTTTTTGTTTTGTAAATTTAGTCTTCATTCTGGCATTTATTCTTATCTTCTTTGAGTCTGTTGAACATATTTGCTATTTTGAAATATTTGTTTTGCACATTGTCTTAGTTTTCCTTCTGATGCTGTGTTAGATGCCATGGCATAAGCAGCTTGAGGGTGAAAGGGTTTATTTCATCTTGTAGCGTATAGTCCATCATCAGGGTAAGCCAAGGTGGGAACTCAGGACAGGAACCTGGAAGCAGGAACTGAAGCAGAGGCCATGGAGGAATGCTGATTGCTGGCTTGCTCCCTCTGGCTTGCTCAGCAGCCTTTCTTATACAGCTCAGACCCACCTGCCCTGGGATGGTGCCAAACCCAGTGGGCTGGGTCTTCCTTCATCAATGTTTAATCAAGGAAATGCCCTAGACATGTCCACAGGCCAATCTGATGGAGGGAAATCTTCAATT